TTTTGGCTAGTATATGAAGGTCTCACAACGCATACAACATGTTCGATAAAATGCCCCTCTTGGTACTATAATACATTTATGAACATCTAGCATGTCATTTGACTATTCGATGAATGGAATAACTCGTTGTTACGTATTACCAAACAATGTGACTTAAGACGACATCAACACACACATGCACAGAAATAGCTAAGTCATAGCATGCCCACAGCACCCTCCGTCCCTTATTTTACACTACTATTTGACACACCAAACGACCTCTGATTGAGCTAAAATTTGGGTATGTGCTAGACTCATTGCATACTTCCATATGCTCGGAGGTTGCCCGGGAAAATCTTGATAATTCTCGATGGTGCCCGGGGCCGAAGATGTACACTCAATCATGACTCCAACCCTTTCACTATGAGCATATTCACCCATATTTTCTTATACTTTCATATGGATTATACATTTATACTACTCTAATCATCATACATTGTTCATTACACACCGTGGTAGTCTACATGTTTATTGAAACAAGTTTGGGGGATTTGTGATTTACATGCTTTTCATTTCATGCGATTTCTCGCTGTATAACAAGATGTCTAATGCTAGCTATTTTCCAACTTTGTAGGATGCCACCAAAACGAACTTCAAAAGGAAAGGAGAAGGTCGGCTCATCATCCGGCACAGCACGCACTCGAGTGCTTGAAGGAGGTATACAAAGATTCTTGACCTCCGAGGCAGCAGCCCGTTATGAAAACATAGTGAGTCGTTGGACAGTGACACCAGAACGGGCTGTTAAGTTGGAAGACTTTCCTGGTTTCGAGCTGACTACTTTGGTGCAGAACTGTGGATGGAATAAACTAGTGGAGCAGCCACATCGGAGTTATGAATTGTTGGTGGGGGAATTTTACACCAACTTCAATACAGAAATTGACACACCAGGGTCCGACCACCTACATCAAACTTGGGTCCGGGGAAAATGGATCACATTCTCACCCGAAGTTATTCAAGACTACTACCAGCTCACGTGGGAAAACATAACGCCTATACCAGGTGACTTCAATTGGCCTGAAGTGGCGAAAATCTTATTGGGGTGACAAAATGCATGGCCACTCCCCACTACCGAGTGGCATCAGATTGAGCTGACACCGTCTATAGCAATCCTGTGGCTGTTTATGTGCCACAACATTGAGCCGACCTCTCACAGGACCACATTCACAGATCCCACAGCTAGATTCCTTTATCACTTGGTGCGAGGTAATAAGGTTGATCTTGCCACTCTTTGCTATGATCAGATACATCATGTGGGTACTTTGGAAGATAGACACAGCTCAATGATCTTTCCAAGCCTCATCTCTGGAATTTGCATAGCTGCTGGTATAAACATTGTATCCGGGGAAGTGGCTACCAAACCCAGCCCCACCATAAAGCGAAGTACCTTGGAGGCCCAAGACAGAGCCAGGTTAAAGCACTGGGAGAAGTAAGAAATTGAAAGGCGCAGACAGTAGGAAGAGCAAGGTCACGAGCAAGCAGAGCAAGAGATGCCTCAAGCTCTTCCATCACAGGCTGAGTTAAATGCACAGTTGTGGCGCCAGATTTTCACCACCACCACCGGGACCAGTCGAGACGTGCAGAGTCTCCAGTAGGCTATGGGGACTTTGACGACTGAGATGCATACAGCCCACCGTGACATCCGCATTTCCACTGATATGTCACGTGCTGCTCGCCAGGATGCCCAGACAGCTAGGAGGGAGATGGACACTTTGAACGGTCGACTCGGTGTGTATGTGGGCAGGGTGGATGGCATCCAGATGAGGGTAAATGAAACTTGGGAGCGTTTGGGCCGTTTGGAGACACGTGTTGAGGGAATCCATAATGAAATGATACAGCAGTCAACACTGATGAGAGAGATCTTGGCGCGCCTACCTCCACCTCCAGCTGAGGATACTGCAGGATCTAGCTTCCCATCGCGGCCCCCGTTTTGATCAGGGGAGTATCGTTTGCCTCATTTGTATTCATTTTCCTTAAATTCTGCCTTCTAAACTTATTTTTCGCATTGTGGACAATGTCTTGTATAAGTTTGGGGGATGGTAGCATAATTTGATTAAGACATTCGGCATGTAACTAATTGCATTTCCACAATCTAGATTTATTTTGACTAATTGTTGTATGAGGCATGCTTGTGAGTGAATATTGATTATGCTTATGTATGCTTGTGTGAGCTTAATCGCCTTGCCGGCTATGATGTTACTATTGGATTAGTACATTTCAAAACTTTGAAGTCGGTGTTAATTAGGCTAACTAATACTTGTGGATGCAATACTTGACATTCTTTATGCACATCATTCATGCTTTACATGTTAGGTAAGTGATTGGGGTTTTGAGCATAAAGTAGAAAGATAATTATAACCCTCGATTGAATTAGCCCGTAAAGTACCTTAAGACAGTTTGGTGATAGTTGAGCTATTATGGGAGAACATTAAAATGAGTGAGGCTCCATGCATGAATTATTGTGTGAATTGCCTAGACCAATAAGATAAAGAGTAGGTGAAAGTCTTAAATTGAGGGTTGGTTTTGGATACCAGATGTCTAAAAAAATAAGGGCATAAACTTAATTTGTGAGAATAAGACACTTCTTTTTCAACCTTTATGACTTGAGCAAGTAAACCTGTAAGGATATTTCAAAATCTGGTGCCCTAAGGTCAACTGATCTGGGAGTCACCGACCTAAAGCTCGATACATGGGTCATATAGAAAGTAAGAAGTAAAGAAGTTAATAAAAAGTCATCTGATCGAACCTTTATAACTCGGGTGAATAAGCCTGCAAGGGTTTAAAACCTGGTGCCTTAAAACCAACTGGTTTGGGAGTCACCGGCCTAAAACTCGTTACATGGGTTATATAGAAAGCAAATGAGAGATGATATATATATATAAAAAAAAATCCAGAGAAAAGTGAGAAAAATAAAAGGAGACAATAACAAGAAGAAAAACCCTTGGACAATTGGTGGAAGAAACTATACCTTTGAGGCGAGGCAAGTAACCTAGTTTAGTCTTGAGTGTCGAAGCAATCAAAAATAGGAGAGCCTTCACTTGTTGACGTGTGAACTTGTGATAGTGAAACTAATCCGAATTACGAGAGGGTGAGAACTAAAGCTAGGTAAACTCATAATTTTTAAACACAACCCCGGGATAATTGAGTGAAAAGAATAAGTTTGGGGGGTTGTGTATCTCTCGAGCGAGTAAGGAGACATTTGACCACTTGGGGTCGGGACTCAAACTCATCATGAACTTGATATGTTAGCATGAATCCACACACACACACGTCAAGTATGCACTTCACAGGTAAAGGTTGATGTCATCTTGCACTGATAAATTTTCATAAAATCAATTACTTAGTCCAATCCTGAGCCAAGGCAAGGTGTTAAGTCATGTTTGTTCAGAATTATATCACTATCTTGTTTGAGGACAAACAATAGTTCAAGTTTGGGGGGTTTGATAAGTGTGTTTTTGCACACTTATTTACATCACAAACATGACTTAAATACAAGTAAAATGATTGAATTGTTACTTAACTTTGTCAAATTCATGTAATGTAGGAAATTCTATGGAAATAGTGGAATTCAGGAGAAAAGAGCCGAAAAAGGACCAAATTGGAGCAAAATGAAAATTCAGGGACCAAATTGCAATTATCTGAAAGTTGACCCGATGAACACATCAAGCAATTGATCAAACCAAGCACCAATTGGAAGTTATAAGGGAACATTGGAGCAACTAGGAACAAAAGAGGAGGTCAAGGAGTGAAGGAATGAAACTTAAGGACCAAAATGACTCAAACTAGAAGTTAGCTCTACTATGCGGTCGCATAGTATAAAACCTATGCGGTCGCAAGTGAACCTCCAGGGATTAAAAACTCTATTTTTCTTAAGCCTATGCGGTCGTATAGGTATAATTTTCTCCCGAATTTCGCAGTTTCCTTATATGATTGCAACTCCTTTGATAATCTAATTTGGACGGGTTTAAATAGCAACAAGACATCCAGAAGCCGCACGAACGACTTGGGAGGCAAAAACGTTCATCTTGGAGTGGATTTGAAAGCAAGAACAAGAATTGATGCAAGATTAGAAGATTTATTCAAGTTTTGATAATCCGGTGATGTATTTTATTCATACTTTGTTAGATTTCGTTATTTTTATCATGATAGGCTAGATTTTTGCAACTAGGTGATCGATGAACCATGTAATTATTATTAAACTTGCTATTTCATGATTTTGAATTATTAGTTCGATGGGATATTTGAATGGATTATATTGGTTTATTTATTTCCACAATTAATGTGCACTTGATTTGTGTGAACTTGGTGGTTTAATTCTGAATTTGAGAAAATTAAATTAAACTCGACATATATAATTCATCATAGGGTCCGATAGGGGATAGAAATATACCCCTATGTAAATCTTTAATTGCTCACAAAAAGATTATATGCGTTCTTGTATAATTGTATCCGTCATAGAGATATAGGCTGATGATTTATGAGAATAGGTTCAATACATCTCAATAGAGAGTATCAAATAGATTTAGGAGCATTGATTTATCAAATTCTTATTGAATTATTAAAATTGTGAAATTAGGGTTAAATTAGTAATTATTTGGGGATTCGTGATCCTAGGACATTCGTTTTACATAGATTTTCATAAATTGACAATACATTTCATTTATTTTTCATAACATTTCATAATTGAGTCATTAGTTAAGTGAATTTAAGTAATTAGGGTTTGATTTGAAATTAAGGTTTTTCAATTTGGGGATTTCCCCCAAATTAGGGTTTGAATTGAAATTAGGTTTTTTCAATTTAGGGATTTCTCCCAAAATTAGGACTTTTGATTCCAAAATGCATTTTAACTCAATTAGTTTCGGTTAAGGCTAAAATAAGTAAAATTGAACTACTCTTTCTCTGTGGGACGATACTCGGACTTCTAAAGTCCATTTTATTACTTGTCACGACTTGTACACTTGCGGTAATTTAAATCGAAAGAAATATTTCGCGAACATCTTGCACGCTAAAACTTGCTTTCAAAGCTCCTGCTTGAAAGACTAAAACTACAGTCTCATTTCTGTTCCTCTTGCAAAATATAAACAATGTATTCTGGACAAATAGAAGATTGGAAATTTACAATCAGAAGGTCCATGAGGATGATCTCTTCAAGACGGGTTTCAGCTGTTTGTCTTCCTCGTGTGCGACCATACCCAAATGTGAAGGGTCTTCGAGCATCATTTTGGCAACCAAATAGCCAGAAATTGACCATGTTTGGTATCTCCGAGCCTGCTTCCCAATATAACGACCAAGTTTTCCGTCATAGTATTCTGGCCAGCCATCTTTTGACAGCCTGGCTTCAGCAAGTTCAATGGCTCGTCTGGCAATCTGGGGGCGCCCTGTCTTGATACACGCTGCTGTGAGAAGCCATAGAAGCACTGCACCCACCAAAATCAAAATAAATACCAGGAGGAGATTAATACAGTAGAAGAAAAAGATTGAAACTATTCCAAGAACCATTTGAAAAACCTCAAAATATGTAGTAAATAAAGTTTGCTTAGTAAAAACTGTATCAGAAATGTATCAATCTTCAAATGTTATTGAGAACCTTATATAGAGATGACCTTTTCATTCAATGTAAGCAGAACTGACACAAAAACCTTCAGCAATCAGTTATGCGGGTTGTACGGTTTAATATCAATGAATTTTTCAAAAAAATACAGAAATAGAAACAACTAAAAGAAAACAATTTCAATTGTTATGTTGCCACTTATTTATCCTCTCCCTAAAAAGAGGTCCAGTAGTTTTCCCTTGTTACATTCTGCTGGCTAGTTCACTTCAAAAGTACACCATCACTATCAGTTAAATCTCATCAAATTTTCATCGAAAGGATTTGAAAGGGTAAAAAGATTACCTGGCCACGATCCTCCATTGTGATAGCTCCATCTAGTATTTTTTGGATCACATCCCGTTACAATCCGCCATTCATGGTTCTCTATGGCTGGATAACAAACTTTTAGAGGCATGTCTCCAACCAACTCCTCCCAACGCGATTCAATAAGATCCATAATGGCCGTTGCTTGTTCAGGTGTTGCTAAGGATGAAAGTATCGCAATGCAATTGCCCAAGCAAAACCAACGGAAATCCATTTTTGAAGGGCCGACATTTCCAATGAAATAGCCTCCGTGGATTGGCATAAAATCAAAAACCCATTCGGGCAGAGAATCGGGCATGACATTGAACTTGTTGACTGCTGTGTGAGAATACTCCTCTGTTTTATATCTATATATATCATTAAGCTGCTTCAAATCCAGCCAAAAGTAATTTCTCATATGGTAGCTCAACGCATGTAGACGCTTGATAATTCGTTCTATAAACTCCTTTCCTTGAGTATCTTGCTTGAGTAAAACCAAGGCGCATCTTAGAGCCATGAAGAAGAGTGCTTGTATCTCAATCGGGTACCCATAAACACCCTGAGAATGTAAATCAGTTGTAAGATATGCAGTAAGAAACTGGAATGAAAACATGCTGCAAACACGTAAGGGGACACATCAGGTGCGGTTCCAAACAAAAAATGGCAACATAATAGGTTTCCATGGTAGACATAACTCTCAGGGGATTATGTAAAACAACTGAAGATCAGTTCAGGAAACTTAAAAGATATATTCTGTATGGATTCCTCTACGTAAAGCACAATTAAATACCAGGTCCTATATCAGTTTTTCAACACAATCATAATAACGATTTTCAGATAGAAAGATTTAGTATTGACCCTGAGAAACTCACCATTCTACGATCAATCATACAGCATCCATCAGCACAAAGAAGTGTTGGGAATGTGTCAAATCCTTCTGAAAGGCATAAACTGAGTATCAGGCGCATACCCTTTTGGCATTCGTGCATCTCAGCCAAAGACGAGTCACCAGTAGACTTCGTGTATGCCCGAAGTAGTATGATCCACCAAAAGCCTGAATCTACAGGAGCCACTCTCCCAATTGCACTCTCGCCAAAATCTGCAATCAATGTTTCAGTATTCCTTGCAGGATCATGTAAGACTTTGAAACTCGCAGGCATCACACCCTCTCCCAGTTGGAATCGGTCAATCTTTTTCTCCCATGATTGAAGTCGAAGAGTCTTGAGGATAAAGTTTTTTACAATTTCAGGTTCCCCATTCATCAGAAAAGCCAGTGCACTTGGAACAAAGTCCCTGACGAACACCTACAAAGAGTTTAATAGTTTCTCACCTTATTCATGATTTTAATTTAGAGACAATGCCAAAAGCTTCACAAGATCAGTAACCAAATGAAGTTTCCCTTCCCCCTCTGGGACAAAAATAATTAATATTTTATTTCTTGGAATCAAATTTCATAGTTTGGAAAAATATTCTTCTTACGAAACTGCCATTCATGAAAATATAGTTTGTAAAATAAAACTAAAATCTCCAAGTTTGCCTCTACACCAAGTGGTGAACCTAACTATGTTCTCCAAAAACCACAAGTATCAATTTGTGTACAGCTGACTACCAGTTGCCAGATCCACTAAGCATTCAACATAAAATGTCAGAAAGTCTAATCCCGGTCTCTCTTTCTTTAAAATAAAACTCTTTAATTCTCATTCTCATTTGTAATCTTACATTCACACTGGTAAATCCAAAACTTTTCTCGACTCAGTGTAAATCCAAAACTTTTCTCTACTTTTTAATCACACATTCTGCAAAAAATAAAAAAAATAAAAAAAAAACCACCATTCAAACCATCATTTTTTATTTTTTTTCAAAAATAATGCCATCAAACAGCGGCTTAAGTACTAGTTTTTCTCTATACTCTCAATATAACATTTCAAGAATATGAAAAAATGAAGTGACAAGACTACATTAAGCAAAGTCGAACTACAAATTTTAGTCATCCATCGCTAACTAGAAGAGACGCAACAATGCACATCATAATGGAAATAAGAAAATGTGCCCGACATGGAATACACGGGCGTTCACCTGATCATAGTTGAGTTTTTCTTCAGAGCTATCCAAAGCAGCAATTGTCCCAACAGGCCGACCACGAAAGTACACCAAAGAACGCCTCAAAGTTTCCCAAGCCTCTGCAGTCATAGGGTGTGGCTCATAAACAAAGTTCGAACTAGGAGTATTGAACCCGGATCTTCTACCGGGCGAAAATATACTATCTAAATGGTCGAGAACTCGATTGAAGTTATCAGCTCTAGAAGGGGGATGTGGAGACAACCCAATTGGAATCTCGGCAAGGGACCTTTCATCGAAAGATCGCTGTCTTTCCATATTCAAAGTTCGAAGACGATCAGGCAGCCTCGAGAAATCAAATTCTTCCATTTCAACGACACTCCTCGAAGAATCCACGTTTTTTATGCTACCATTTTGAGACACGTCCACTGCAAGCAGAGACATTCTTCCAATACTCGGTCTTCAATAAAAGGAAATGATTGAATGCAGAATTAGGGGCTCAATAATCTGCAAAAATACAAACAAAATATTGCTGTAAACGTGAATTCACATTACAATTTACGCCAAGTTGCAAAATCACACAATGAACAATTGTCAAGAGTAAGAACAGATCAACATCCATCACTGTCCATATACCAAATTCACATTGCCACCAGAGAAAAAAAATAAAAAATAAAATAAAAAATCAAGAATCCTTAGAATCTGAATCTAAATGTTTCAAGATTATTCAATTGAACCAAGGAATAGACACCCCATAAGCCCATAATTCTCATAAGACCAAGAGGAGCAAGGAATAAGACGTTTACGAATTTTTCTTTAAAAAAAATAATCATAAACTAACCCATAGTAATCCACTTACAGAAGCTGTAGATCCGAGTATGAACAAACAAATGAAAGAGAGAGTGCAAATTTATAAGACGTCAATTCTAAATTGATATTTTCTATGTGGGATCAAAAGAAATCAACCAGTGACTGACTGGTCGATGGAGACACCTGCACAGGTTAGTCACATCAACACTAAATATACGTACACGTGTATATATATAGGTGGGAGTAGACTCAACTCAAAGCTGCAAAACATTTCTCACGGAGAGGAGATTAATTATTTTCAAGATTCAAAAAATAGCAATAAAAGTCATCAATTAACCCATATTAATTCACTTACCCAAATGAAACGGACAGGGATCACCGAGAGCAGAGTTCAAATACTTTATTAATATTTCGTAAATGGGATCAAAAACAAACATTTTCAAAAATATCTTCATTCTTGTCAATCTTGTGATATTTCCTATGTGGGATGAGAAATCAACTGGTGTGTAACCCACAAATAGAGACACCTGCAACACATCAAGGACTAGTCCGTACAACGAGTGAGCCTCGTCATTCAATGAATTGTGTCAACTTAACTATATATGCACACACGTGTGTATATATATGGATCGGGCTCAAAGCTGTAAAACAATATTCACGGATAGAGAACGAATCGTGATCAAGGAGAGAGACTGCTAAATGAACTATGATGGATGAAAATTGGGTATGAAACAGTGAATTATTGGAGTGTAAAATTTGGGGAAATGACGTGTGGATGAAAAATGCATCGCGATTGCGACAAGAATTTTGTGTCAGATTTGTAAACGTACAGTACAGATGGAGATTGGTATAAACGTACAGACGTCGCCTTTTGCATGGTGCGAGAGGGTTGATTTTTGGCAGCTATCATTTTCTGCCGCCCTTTCTTCTAATCAATTCATCGATGCCGTAAACCATTTTTACAGCAAATGAGCATGTTTGACCGCTTTCTTTTCTTTTCTTTTTCTCCCTTTACAAAGATATATTTTAGAATAGTGATATGATAAAAAATGTGTGATAATTCCTAATAGAAATATATAAACGAAAGTTCAATTAGAATTATTAAAAAAAATTGAATTCCGTGTAATATTATTTTATTAAACAATGTGTAATAAAAAATAGAAAAATAGAAAAATGTATTTTAAAATTATTGAGACCAAACAATGGCTAAATATATATATCACATTGGAGTTTTTGGAGGATTTTAACTCTACTACAATTTAATTATTTTAATAATATCTTACTTTTCGTTTTTCAATATGCAATAAATATTAAGAAATCATAGTCTGTATGAATTTCATACTATTAATTCTCAATTAATTAACAATTATACTAAATTAAATTGAATTGAATGAATCTTGATCTACATGAATCTAAAGTTATTTGAATTTATTTATGTATCTACGAATTTTCTTGGTAATTGAATTCATGTATTAACAATTAATTCTATGCACCAAATATAGTATAAAAAGGTTGCTCACTTTTAGTATTTCATTATTATCACGAAAATTTTGAATCATAAAAGTTGAGTTTTAAGAGTACAACTTTCTTCTCTTAAATTTCTATCCTAAATTTTATTTTCTTTAATTCGTTTGAAACTTCTCAAATCCTCCCAACAATTAGTGCCAAATGTTTCTTTTACGACAGTTATAAGTTATTTCAGAAGAACGTACAATACACGATTAGTAGATAGAAATATTAAAAAACTTCAAAGAGTAATTCAAATAGATCTAAGAAATTATGTGCTATATTTGTGGACAAGCCAAAATTTATTAAAAAACGAGTTTAAATGGCAGCTCTAAATCAATCTCGTAAACACCCTATATTCCTCGACTTGAAATATTCTTATTATTGCTTCTACTCATATTTCCCAAAAAGCAGAAAGAAACTTAATTTTTTTTTTTTTTTAGATTACATTATTTTAACATATACTCATTTACCTATAAATAAACTTTTTAAACTCAATAAAATAAATTACCCAAGAAGTTTTCATTGTCCAATTTAGTTAAAAATTAGATTTTTAGTAGATTTGGATAAAAGTGAATGAAATGTGTGATCGAAAAGTTAAATAAAATTATGAATCTTATAAAATGTATGGTTGGAAATGAATGTTAGAAAATGGGGTCAAAGATGGGCTAAATATGTCAACAATGTAAGCAAGTACAGTATTTAGAGTTCTTCATAGTTATCAAAGAAGCATATTCTTTTAGGTTCTTACAATGCTAATTTCATCGTTTGTCTTTCTCCTCCAATCATATGACACGAATCAATTCCAGTAAGCAATGTTAGGAGTACAAACAATTTTTAGTGTTTGTCAGATTTTTTATTTTTCATTTTTTATTTTAACCAAACACCACAAGCCAATATGGGAGGCCTCTACATATAGATAGATGATAAGGATGATGTACAAGGGAAGGATATATGATTGTTACACAGGATGTGGCTCAATTTGCAAAAGCTAAATATAGAGGTATCTCCATTACTAATGTTTTAATATTGCAAATTCTAACTTCCCTTTGCCAAGTTCCATTCAATCATAAACTAAATAGGAATGCTAGCATAATTATTAGACCCGATTCGATTGTCAACCTATATAAATCATCGACCAAATTAGTCATGATCGGTACCGACATTTTTCACCATACCAGTAAGCACGGTCTGAATGGTTTTTGATCAATTCATTTGCCAATGGACCGGATTATTGTTCGATCTGTCAGTTCCCAAGCCAGATCAATCGGTTCAATCCAATTCTAATAACGATGCATGACAGTAATGGTTAACGGAAATAAAAATCATTTTACAGTAATACAATAATGTGACATTTGCCAGCATAAAAATAACCACAATAATTCAATTCTTTTCTCATAGCAGAGGATCGAATGAACAAAATTATTATTCACTCATGTATTAATCACAGTCCCAACAGCTATGATTTGCACAATAATGTATACAGAGACAAGTTGTGTATCCATCCGTGCTTCATTCCATTATAAACCAATTGAATTTCAAGATGAACTGAAATATGGAGAAATAATATCAATTTTTGGGACGAACAATCACAAATTCACTTCAAAATTTCGAAATTGGTAATTATTAAACTATAATATAAAAACGTCATGTAACATAAAACTCTAGTGTTACATTACACATTATTAGTTATGCCAAGCAAAATGAAAAATGCCTTCTTCGCATAATTATTGATGAGATGGGGGTAATCAAAATACCCCGAAATAGAAAAGGCTCACAATGTTAGTTGTGTTGTATTGCTAGGTACTCTGAGCCATTTTGTGAAATAATCATGCAGCAACCTTCTTGGAAGTCACAGAATTAACAATGGTCACAAACTCGGCGCCCTGCAACAAAAAATTGAAGATCAATCTCAAGTTTGCTGTCATAAGAAAAATGAGAAGCTTCAAACCCCTGACTCGGGTTGCAACGGGGCTGGACTGGCACACCCCAGTTTTGCCTTTTGGGCGGACCATGCTGGGTAACGACATGGTTCTTTTTTCGGCCTGGCACCCCTAAAACTAAGTGGGCCTCGCACAACATTTTTCCTTGATCCGAAACATAAGGTAATAGCCTGGCATACTGGGAATTCCCAGGACATGCAGGATCCAGGTATCTAGAATTACACAAGCAACAAACAAAATCACTTGCATCCCACTTTCTACAACTTGTTCATAGTGCATGTGCTCACCCAGCAACCATTTTTATCTGTACTTAACAGAGATCTTATCACTCATTATCTACGTGTTATAAATCAACGCCATCAACTTAGTAAAATAAAATTCATGACGCCACCATTCTCGACCTAGTCCTGCTCCTCTATGGGTGCTAGTGGAAAGGCGAAGACAAAAGATCTTTCAAAGATGCATGTGTGATCAGCTTCATACAGAAGCATCTAATAGTGAAGTCAGTGCAACCTAAGAAGCACGGATACTTGTAAACTGATTACACATATCCAAAACGTATCCAAGCTTGGATACTCTCCGACGTGCTTTGATACGTATCCGCGTATCCTAATTTTTGAAAAAAAGAAAAAAAGAAAAAGTAGTATCGGTATACTCATATCATATTGTATTCGAATTACGTATCCAAATCTGTACTTCTTAAATGCAATCATGAAATATTGCTTCTTAAACATTTTTATATGTTGTCATCAAGACAAGGAACAGTTTATGCAAGTACGGGGGACATTGCTTACTGTGAATTTTGGTGAAATGGAAAGCACAGAGAGCTCTCCCCTTTCACTGGTTGTATTCACGAGCATGTTTTAGAAATTTATTCAGACACAAGGCAAGAGAAATGAAAAAAGGGAAGAAATAAAGCGGAGGTGCGTGTCCATTTCACAGATTGTAAGCTGACATAGACCATATGAATAGCATGGCAATACCTTCAGGGAAGCACCGCCCACGAGAAATCCATCAATATCTTCTTTTTTAGCAAGCTCTGCGCAGTTACCGCCATTGACCGAACCTGTGGAGAAAATTTCAAAACATTCAGAAAATATAAGTAAATTGGCAGCCAGCGCTAACTATATTTACTAGTTAATTTACGATTGAGTTGATAATAGCTTCTTGGAAATAATAATAAGTGTGATTGAGTGGGAAAAATAAGCAATTTCATGGTATTCATATTATGAAAATGAGAAAAGTGAGAAAAGCTTGCGATATAATAGATAGTTTTTCACTAAATTTCGAAGTTTAAGCTAAGAATTTCCTACCTCCATAAATAATACGTGTTTTAGATGCAACTTCTGCAGAAACATTCTTACTAAGCCAATCACGAACAGCAACATGCACTTCCTGAGCCTGCTCAGGTGTGGCCACTTTACCAGTTCCAATGGCCCATACTGGCTCATATGCCACAACAATGTTATCCCAACTTGGCACAGCATCTGCACATCATAAGAGTGTAAAATACAGTGAAAAAATCAGTGAATGATTTCTTAAAAGGATTACAGATTGATCCAGGGCAAGAAGAGGACATCTCAAAGATACAGAGTTAATTCAGAGAAAGATAGGAGCTATACTTGCCTGCAAAAGCCTTCATTTGCCGAAAACAGACATCGAAAGTTTTTCCTGCTTCCCTTTCTTCTAACAGCTCTCCAATGCAGGCTATTACTCCAAGATTCTGGCTCAAGGCATATGCAGCCTTCTTTCCAATGAACTGCACATCATAGTGGTTTCATAAATCAGAGACGACTAGTTATCCAATCAGATATAGCTCTTTCAATGGAAACATTATAAAGATCCTTCTTTGCTCTTACCTCGTCATTTTCTCCAATAATATGTCTCCGTTCAGAGTGCCCAAGAACAACCCACTTGCATCCAAGATCTTTTAATTGTTCCACACTACACAAAGAAGCCTAAATTTGCTTATTACATGAAACAAAATTCATTGAATCCATGATATTAACACATTTGTATTGAACAAAATGTAACAACTCAAAAATATACAATACAACGCTTTTATCGTGCATGTAGATTACTTGGTCGATTACCTAATTGCACTAGTCTCATAGCCATAGCCATGAAAGAGCATTTGTACTTGAATAATATCTTAAACACTACTGACAACTAAACATTTCCACCGCATGAAATCTTAATCATAACAAGAAGTCCCATCAGCCAAGGAATCAGTTCTTACAGCTCAATCTATTCATATTTATTTAGAAAATGATCAATAAGTTGAATATTCAAAAGGTGAAGAACTGACTAGGCAACTCATCCATGGCCAATAAAAAATACCTGTATTTGAAACTACATCTACTTCAAATACCATCCAGTACATATCCCACCAAACATCAGTACTACAACCAAATGCCCCCACACTAGGCATATATATCCTGAATTAGGCTCGCATATTCACGCATTATGCTATCAGAATATTGAAGAAAATTTGATTTTTTTTACTTCTTACTGTCCCCCATGCCATATGCGTCGCACATATCCCAAACAAATGTAGTTTGACTCTAGATATATTTCAACAGGAGCAATACAATTTAGAGACAAGGTCAGGCAACACCGTTGTGGCATTAACAAGCACAATAAAGAAAATTTATTGATTCAGTTATTTCTTGTCCCAAACAAAATAGCACCTGATTCTTGGAATACAGGAGTAGCATATCACTGGTCTTCTAAGCTTATATAGAAGGAAACTCACCTGATTTCTCCAGTAAAAGCACCACCTTTTCCCGTCCAACAATTCTGCGCAGCTATCTCTATTCGCTCAGTTAGTGAGTTCTTTACTTGATCGAGGTAAACAAAAGGAGGTGACACAACAACATCTGCAAAGGTCAAGGGACAAACTGAGATCCAAATACTTTGTGTATAAGTAAACAAGAAAACTAGATAATATCAGATGCAAGAGAAAATTCCAAATTCCAATATGGCATGTTTGATACACCAGACAAAGTGGAAGGTGAAGATTAAGGGATAAACAAGCTCAAAAAGGAAGACTTGCTCACCTTCCCCTTGTCTCTTGCTCATCAATACACTTCAGTACAATGGCAAACAGATAACATGTCACTACATATTTTACAAACTGATAAATCTATATGCATCATTTATATAATTCTCCAATAGATGTCCTTTGCTACAATAGAGATCATACACTTGCTCACTGGTAATACAGAAATCATATACTGCTTTAAAGTCTTCAATGTGACAGAGAATCTACTGTTTCAAATGTAATAAAGTTCCTGATATTTTCTCTATAAATTATGCAACTGGTATCAAGAACATCAAAATAAAAAATTAATTCAAGTCTATAAGTCTTGATGTTCAACATCCTACGTTGTAAAATAGGAAGAGGCTTCATATTCTGAATGCAGAAGCTCAAAACAGCTAGATATCTGTGTATTGTTCAAAACTACATGAAGGCTAAACTAGACGGAATTATGAGAAATGGGATAAAGTTGAACAACTGCTCCCGTTTCTCAGCTATAAAGAACATAAAGCGCCTTCTCTTTATTCAGTAGAGATGATATGAAACATTAACAGGTGGTTGAAGCTCACCAACATCAGACTCCAATGTTGCACTGTTCAAGTCAGAGACAAGCTTGCTTATCGAATCTTTTGTTCCATTCTAAGTAAAATACAAAAAAACTAGTCAAATAAAGATACCAAAAAAAAATAATAATAATAATAAATAAATAAATTATTCAACAGCATTCAAATTATTAAATATGTTATACATGCAGAAGAGATAGAAGAGAAAAAAGGATCATTTCTACAAGTCTAAAGAATGATGAAACAATGATTGTATGCCTAGAATAGCAAGAAATTCAAACAAATTTTCACCTTTAATGGACTTAAGATATTCTTTTGAAGGCTGTAGAAGTGAACTGCAATCGTTTCCTAATGCACAAAATTTTCCAGTTCTTCTTGACAGAACTCGCTACTTTCACATTTCATTGGACATAATTTCAACTTTTTAAGAATCTATCTTTGAATTATGAAGGATTATGTTATTGGTTGCTTGTTCATGTTATCCACGCCTTATATCCATAATTCGCCATTTCTATTCCTCTAGTCTTCACATCTTTCCTTCAATGTTACAAATCACAACTCTTTGTCTTCTGTTGGTATCACACAATAAGGACAACAATTTTATTCAAAAACTTAAGCGATTATCAACTAATTCCATTTACAGCCCCAATTAAAAATGTTATGACTGATCCTAAAAATAGCTAGGACATTGAAGTGGTTCAACTGGAAGATTTGATAAAGAAACAACAATTCACACTAACACAAAACTTTTATAAACTGAATTGAAATGGAGATAACAAAATATATTAATGACAAAAAAAAAAGATTATACTTACACACTTCCAGTTTCCACCAACGAAGAACTGCAAGCAAAAGGGAAGGAAGATTAGATTTCGAATAGATGAAGTCCATAATGCATTAAGCTTGAAAACTGAGAAAAAACAGAAAAAAAAAAAAAAAAAAAAAAAAAAAAAAAAAAAAAAAAAAAAAAAAAAAACCATAATATCTCATAAAGAACGGGCTTTTCGGAGAAGTACATTCACAGAAGTATTGAAACAACATAGACACTGAAGAAATAATCGACGTCACAAAAACATTAATACATTCACAAAACCGAGCTGGATTATCCTAATGATTACATAATAGTATCAAACTGACAAATGTATGACCAAAAACAGTAGTTCAGTTCATTATTTCTAAACACTAGATCTGAAAGTAACTAACTACAAATTGAAACCATAGCCATGAAACTTAAAATAACCTTTCCGGAGCCAGCCATAGTGACGACGGCGCGGCATCCTTTCCGAGAAGACGAAAGGCGGAGGTGAGAATCCACATTCTGAAAGAAAGACTGAGTTGAATTGGAGTTGGAGTTGTCGAGCTTGAGAAAAGACTTGCGCAGGCCGGAAAAGTGGCCGGAGAGTTGAGATCCGGCACCCGTGAGTGACGTGGACACAACTGCCATGCGTATATACTGTTGTTAGAAGCGGCTGGCACCTATCTATTTCTCTCTATCCGCTGGTAGTTGAGGAGTTCTGGTTTCAAGCCCTTCCTTAATATGTGGCTTTTGTTTTTTAACCCAATAGGCTGTTCATTGTATACGCTATTATCCTACGCGCTTTTTCGAGGCGTGGAATCCACTGTTTCATTCTTTTCTTATAAAAAATAAAAAATTTATAATGATTGTTGTTTCGAGCTATGAACATCTTGTTTTACAATTTTTTTACATTGTGCCACGTGTTAGCACATGATTGGACAATCATATTTAGACTTAAATCTATGTTCAAATACAAATGAGACACGTGTCGATGTATGATTAGATAGTTTAAAAAATTGAAACAAAAACACTCAGTCATTTTCTTACACATCAATATGTCTCTTCACTTTCTGTTTTTAAACCTGATTAAGTGGTTTTATTTTTTAATAAATTCACGTTTCTGTCCGACGCTTTTTGAATTTTCACACTATATCAAAAAAGGTGTAGACAATAGAATGTACACTTAGCAAAATTCTAATTCTTAAGGGTGAAGAAAAAATTTGGCAACCCATCAAATCGAATTGAAATTACAATTTAAAATTTTTTATTTAGGTTCACGTGAACTAATCAATATTTCGATTTAAAATCAATCAAAATTATTTGAAAATGGTTTTAAAATTTTAATAGTTGAAAATCGCTTGAAACCAAATCAAACCGCTCTCTCCATTTATAAAAAAATGATACTTGTTTTACTTGAGATATATAATTTATTAGTCCAATTTGTGCTTCGACAAATTAACTTGATAGCCCGTTGTCTATTGATTCTTCTGTGAAATAATCACTTATGATAATTTTCTTATCATTCTTATCGATTTCAAAGTGATTGAATATGTAAGCATAAATTACGTAGTTAGACCTTATATCAATTTATTGGTCTAAATTTTTATAAAGACAAATATATTATTATATATCGTAACATTTATGTGTATAAATTTTGAATTAAGTGATGTGTTTATATCTCAAACATTATTTTTCACTTGTCTGAAAAATATTATCGCTAAAATCAAGGTTTGATCTCAAAAAAATTGGTTTGGTTTGAATTTTTTTTTTTCAAATCATTTAAAATTTATATATATATAAAGATATTATAATTTTCTCTTTTTTTTTTCTTTTTCCTCATTCATCTTCTCGATCCATTTCTCGACCACTAATGTTAGATAGCATTATTCTTCCTCATATAAATTTGTAACATAAAACAAACAAAATAAACACAAAATAATAAGAATCAAGCTTACAAACTTACAATTATGTAAATTCAAGACACTGAATAAGTGTAAAATATATACTTATCGAGTTGAGGATTAGGCTTGAGATTCTAACAAGGTAGAGTACCATGGTAGCTTGGCTGGATAGCTTTGTGGATTTGAAGAGATTATTTTTCTCTATCTGCCAAACATATGAAGTAACACGATATGGATTTCTTGCAAAAAATTGGAAGAATTGGGTTTCGATCTGTAAAATTGTTTATTAGAATTTCAAAACCTAATTTTGTGAGATTGAGTGTTTCGATGTCTTTTTCACTTAATCGAAGAGCTAATAGAGTTCTAAAGTATTTTGTGTAATTTAATGCTTATTTGGTAGGAATTTTGATAATTGATTTTTTGACCGTTAGAGATAAAATGAGTCATACCTGTAAGAGAAAAATTCAAAAATGAAGATTGAAATAGTGAAATAACGGTCAAAAATTGATTTTAATTTGATTAAAATATGTACCAAACAAGCTCTTAATATGTAATGTTAATTCATAATATTAATTTTCAGCTAAATTCAATTTTCCATATTTTTAAGTTTTACATCTTTTTTTTTTTTTCTTCTTCCTTTTTTTTTTTTTTTTTTAATCAATGTAAAAAGGGATTAAAGTTTAGAAAGTTGTGTGTCACGCCTTAGCACGCGGTTGTTAAAAATTCAAGCTAAGAATAGACAATTTTATGACTTCTGTAACCAATTATCTTTAGATTAGATTTTTTTTTTTTTTAAATATCTTTATGTTAGTTGTATTTTTTAATGTATTGGTGGAGTGTTGAAATTATCGTCTGGTTTGTAAATTTATGACATCATTTTTTTGTCACAAAAAGAAAATATTAGTATTCTCTACGAGAAAGATTAAATATATTTCTTGGCGATTAGTTTGAGAAATTCATCGAATGACCTATAACGAAAATAATTGCATATTTTGCATAATATTTGTTAGACCCCCGATATGAGCTACGACTATTGTATGAGGGCTGCTTGTTTCTGTCCTAAAAGCTCGGGGAGAGTGCTTGTCATGTGTGTATCGTAGGAATAACCCTAAGCCCCCGTTTGACTCCCATTTTTTGGAAATGAAAAATTTGTGGAATAGTGTTTTTTGAAAAATGAGTGGTTGGGAAAAAAAAAAGGAAAAGTTTTTAATTTATATGTAATATTATTTTATGGAAGATTATGGGGTTGAAAATTGAAAAGAGAGAAATGGAAGTAATGAGAAATCTCCCTTCCCGTGTGATCGTTGGACACACTACCTTTGAGTTAATTTGTCCTCAGACTGATTATTGTTTCCTTGTAGTGTTTAAGAGATCGTGCAAGTTGATATGCCGAGTTAACAAAGAAGAGTTTTCTATTTCTTTGCCGATAGTAGCATGGATGGAGATACTAGAGAATATAATTCGAATTAAACTTTGTTGTTAGGTAAATTTGACATATTTGTTGACAGAAGATGTGTATAAAAATGATTGGATGACATTGTTAACTATTTTTAAACCATCCAATGAAATTCCACTATGTGGCATTCCATCATTCAAGATGTTAGAATAGCAATATTGATATAATTTTGCCCTTTTGAAAAATAAAAGAAAATTTATATCTAATGAGTACAAAGGTAACGTTTCTTTAGTTTAAGTGCAGTATAATCTTTTTGTGTCTACCTAATAGAGTATTTGTTTCAATTAAGGAAAGGTTGAGATTATAAGAATAACAAGTGGTAAAAGTGTGATCACATGTATATGTTGGAGATAAGAGTCATTAATTAAAGATCGATTTCTTACAAAAAATTTGCCAATCTCTAGGTTTGATTCTCTGAATCAGTTGTTTAGCAAGGTTTTAAAATGTATAAGGAGTGACAAAGCGTGAAGGTCAAATCTCAAATTTTAAGAGCCTAGGCGTATAAGGCATCTTTTTTATTTTTAAATTTATCTAAATTATTGTAGATCAAAAAATACATAAAAAATTTTAAAACCTTGAAAATTTTATTGGAACATCAAACATATTTTTCAACTTTTCAACAAAAACATAATTATCAAAATTATACATATTCAAAACTATTGATGCTTTTTTCATTAGAGTGAAAAAGGTATAATTACTCATAAAGGACGCACACCTTAGGTGATCAAAGTAGACTAATTGTTAGAGCATGTTTGGTACAGCTTAAAATTCAATTAAAATTAATTTTTTAATCGTTATTTCACTATTTCAACCGTCATTTTTGAATTATTCTCTTACAGGTAGGACTCACTTTACCTCTAAATGTCAAAAAATCAATTAACAAAATTCCTACCAAACAAGCACTTAATCTTTCCATTTTAGGCACGAGGTGGATGGTCCTCTTATTCAAAGTCGGGGAACTTTTAAGTTTGGCTTAGTTAAACCCCTTAATTTTCACTTTAAATTTTCAACAAATGCATATTTTCATAATGGCCTTTTGGATATTAAAAGACAAAGATGTTATAACTGTAAAATATTATTTTGTTGAAAAGATAATGCTACTATTTCAGTTAATAGATAAAATTCAAACACTTCCCACTTAAATTTTCAAAATCAACTAACTTTTCTTACCTATTTTTTTCCAATACAAATAAAACTCTCTCATTTTTCATCTACCTCAACTTTAAAATTTCAAAAATTTATCAAATACTGAGCAAGAAAACATTTTTTTATATCTATCAATTCGAATCAATAAGTATACTTAATTTTATTTTCGTTAAATTAGTATACATTTTTAATCGATAAATCTTAGGAAAAATTGCAGTCAAGGTACCAAACTTTTCGTTTATTAGTAGACTTGATCCAAACATTTCGTTTGTGCCACCGGAGGTACCAAACCTTCAAAAAATTTGCACCCGAAGTCCAAATTGACAGAAGCTGTTAGTTTGACTGTTATTCAAAGACTTGACCAATTGTTGACTAATTTTTAAAGGAACAAATGTATAACTTTATATTTTTCATATAAAAAATTAAAATAAAAGAAATACACTTCATCTTCTCCACCTCACCCTACAAACACCCACTCCAAAACCAGGAACCACTCACTTCCCAACCCACCTCTTGACCGCCCAATGCCACCACGTCCATCACCATTTCTGCAATTGACGACATGGTTGGCAATCTTCATTTGTTCCAATTCGAAGCAAATTTAGGGAAATTGGTAGCCTTCAAATCCTCCAAATATAGCTATCAAAACTAACAGCATCCTCCCTTCATTGCCTCAAAAACCCGCCAAACATAACTCAATTTTACCCGAACTCAAACGCATAAAGTCATTTTCTACCTTATATTGCTAATGGTCCTGTGGATTAAATATAGACGTTTGCAAAATCTTGAAATTAGATTCAAAATAGAGCCAAATGGCGCAAAACTTATAGTAGAGAGGCGAATAGTGCGGAATTTTTGTTCCAAATTAGATCTGGGGAAGTGTTTGTTTTGCACCCCAATGAGTTAGGGGTGTATGTTAATTGAAAATCGGTGTATGTTCAGGTTTAAGAATTCTTGCAATTAGCATTTGTTGAAGGTAGGGAGTAGTGGTCGAAGGGGCAGTGGCGTCGACATGTAGTGCGTGGCGTTAGCACTGGCTAGGGATTGGTGGTGGAAGGAATGGTGGCATTGGCATGGGGTGGGTGGCGTCGACGACGTGGGTTAACGGGGTTGGGGAAGAAGATAATGGTAGGGGTGGTATTTGTATTTGGTTTTGTTTTTATTTAATTATCAATTATAATTGTGTTTTTTTTATTGAAAAAATGTAAAGTTACAATTATATCCTTTTTAAAATTAGTCA